TGCTTTAAATGAGATCAACAAGAAAATGATCTCTCCTTTAACCAGCTTTGATGTATTTATCCATGAAAACAATAAGCAAACACATGTGGGGCTAAAGCGTCTACCATTTAATATTTATTTACAGTTATCATAATTAATATACCATTAACCAAAGGTATTTAGACGGTAAGGTATGACTAAAAGATATTTAGTCCTGACCCATCTTTCAATACCGTACATCTCCATTGAAAAATCGTAATAGATATATATTAAAATAATATAGTATATAGGTAGGTATTTGAAATCAAACACACGCAATTAGTATTCAAAATGGCGAGGTAACATGACATACCTATAACTAATCGTTTCCAATTATATCGCTTAATTGATTTAACGTGTCATCCAATGTTTATTCCAGTGCCACAACGGGAATACAGTTCCTACTACCAACATTAAATAAGTAACATTAAGCTTTGACGATTGCCATTCCTTTTGGTACTATTCCCAAGTTCAGGGAAAACTCTATGAAAATCTAACAAGTACATAATCAAATATTTGGTAATTAATAAAAAGAGAAATCCGCCTTATCTGAACTATTCTGAGACAAACAGCTTTAACACAATGGAAAACATTTGTAGGGGCTCGGATACCAAGTTCAATTATTGTGGTTCAGTTACTATTTTCGTACCGTCTGGCGTCTCATTATTATAATTAAGTAAATAGATTATTATTGATTATGTCTGAAGTGTAGAAGGATCTGCGCAGTATGTTAATACCAGTAAAATCAGACCAGCATGCTCCAGCCCTTTCAGACATGGGTGTATGTACTTATTGGTACCTAGACAGAAATCGTGTTTACCGATGATATTGTTTGATCAGCAGGACTGTTTTAGCAGAAGGCAAAACGCTGACTGAAAAATATATGTACCTGTGGTTTGCATGAGAGTGGTTACGACATTGCGTGCGTACAGTTGATAAGTCATCAATTTATTTTACAAACTTAAATTGCCATTTATAAAATGTTCTTTACACGTTTCTCACCGGGGAACACTTTTGAATAGAAGGTATATGGCATTTACCAGAGTAATTTAGCATTGAGGTTATCGTGGGGTACATACTTAGAATTTTGTGTATCGTTCAATCTACATTCAACAGGATCCAGCATTACTAACACACCACACGCTGCACGATCAGTATTAATTAAATAATCTCTGCCAGCAGAAGTTCAAATACATTATGTACTATAAAAGGACACATCTAATATTTATAATCACTTTCAGTTTGCACGCACATAGCATGCACATTTTCTAGCATATTTAGGTTAGATCGTTAACAATGGTTTGTATATATATATAATTGAATATATTTAACATTACTAATATTTATGTATATATTTTCAATAAATAATATTTTCTATACAGTGATCGTAAGGAATATACTATTACTACCGTTGACACATTATTTCTTGATTTATAGAACAATACCAAAATCAGGCTGTGATGCTTTCTGGCAAGCGAACGTTACAGACCATCCGTGTTCGGAATAAAGATATTCCTTTCGATTTCTTATGGTTAAGTTCAATTTTAAAGATGGGTTCCTCGATATTTTTCGGAATTTTTACAATCAAAGTAATGTATTTCTTGTTGTTATGTATATGGTTTATTTGAAATCTATAACGTCTTTAAATATTAAAATACATTAACATAAAAACATACTATGCCCAGTCGGTCAAAGCCTGATATGGTTAACGAATAAAAGGAAATCCTATTTACGAAAAAACTTTAAAACATTCTTTTTGTGTTCCCGGTCTGTAGGTAATTACATGTACCCCGAGAGTCTGTAGACACATTTTCAATTATGAATTCAATACATCAACAAATAAAAGATGGACTTTTAAACTGGTCATGCTTTTCAAACAACTTGAAATTTATTTTATTGTTGATCAAAGTATCTATTTATGTGAACATTTAAACATTATTAAATATTATTGATAAAAATCAATGTATTTGGCCTTAATCAACACATGTATGTATTTGAATACTTCTACAACATAGTAGACTGCTGTACACCTGCGAAAGCTGAAGTAGATAGATGTAGCTAGGCTACTCTACAACCAAATAATGTTACAAGTGTACTACATCTACCCCAGGCTTATCTATAGAACGCTCTGGGTAACAATGAACGACCTTTTATTATGGTATTAAGGTCACCTTGAAACATTCCGACAGAGGTATGCTTAACTGAAGAGACATAACTCACATACAATCTATGTTTTCTATACATGTGTTGGATGATGTTTCAAAATAAATCAAATTATTGAAAATTAAACATTTAATTAAAACTTACTTTTTCTCAGGTTTGCGTATATTATTGAAAGTTTGTCTTTATGTATGAAAAATTTAAAAGTTTGCCTTTACGAATGAAAAAAATAATTTTGCCTTAAATTTCGAAAGTATTCATTTCGTATGTAAAACAAAAATCAATATAGAGAAGTGTATCTAGGATACGTACAACTATTGTCTAAAGGTGAACAAGATTTCTTTTTTTCAAAGTTTGCTGAAATATGGTCGTGTGATTTCTCAAACTTGCTAAACAATTTATCGAAAAAACAGTATAGCGCAATACACGTTGTATTGTATTGTATCGCAATACGAATTTTTCAAAAACTTATTTATTATTTGTATCAGCTAGGGGTTTAATTTTGCAAAGTACTGCACATTCTTAGAGATATGCCAATAACCAACACACAGGCTTTTACTAGTGGTGGAAATTAGTTGAATTATCATATTGGATAATTGGTTGAACGAAAACCTTAAGTCTTTGTGATCCATATGATATATGGTTAAGTTTGGTTACATTCTGACAAGGACTTCTTGGGCACCTTTTTCCTGTGACAATTTATCGGGATACGCATCACGATACATTTCCGATATTTTGCAATATATCGCGATACACTCTAGCCGTTTTGTGACACCCTGTTAAACAAAATTTAGTTACATTAAAACACTGCATAAAGTTTACTTACACCCGTTCCTGGTACTGACACGTTATATATCAAATTTAATAAATAAATTTATTCGAAAGTGTCTTTAAAGATGATTCTATATTTGAACATTTTAAAAAAATCTCATGTCATGCATGTTTTCATGTATATTTAAATATGCTTGAACTTGATACATATTCAAGTTTTACTTTGATGTTAAGTTATGCATGCGAAAGCTGAAAGCACATCAAAATAGTCAAAGTTAATACATATGGATTTGAATATTACATAAAATACATATTACTTGCGAATAAAAGCTAAGTAATATAGAACAATAAATACAGTTGGTTCGATACATCTGAGCTGTTTGTTCTCACTGTTCAAATATAATATAGCACACAGAAAAACACTAGAAATATAACATTTCAAGGGAAATCGTACGAATACATGTTAAAATCTTGAATGAATAATTTATAGTATACAAGGTATAACATAAATTAATATGGAAAATAATCTGAAATATATATGAAAATATAGTCATAATATTACAAATATATGTAACAGTTTAGTATTGCATGTAACAACTATGCATGAAGTCGTTATCAATTATCACTATATTATTTCTCTATTATATATTATATTATCACGATTATTGGCGTAACAATAACACTGTATCACCAAGAAAACATGATTTTCTTACAGGAATCTTTCAATGTTAGACAAATACAGTAGTGTACACTAGTGCCATGTTTGAGAAAATTGCACTTGTTTGAACACTTTACAAAAGAAAAACACATGGAATGAACATACACATCTTTATGGAGAAATATATAGGTAATAGATTAATTTACACAATAGAATACTACAGAATATAATGCAATGTATTTTGGCAGGAACATGTATACTACAACCAATATAACACCAAGTACATTTGCAGATACATGACAGACTGCGACAAACACATATCTAGAAGAATCATCAGATTGCCATTTTTATTATTGGTTGAAAACGAATGACAAAAAATACAAACAGTACGACAATAGTTCTCATATCTAACGACCTATTATTTCACCATGCCAAATCTTTGCATATATTGGCTTTTGTGCAGAATTCGATCGCGCGAACATTGCAGAAATTTAAATTCGTGCGGTATTTAAATAAACTACAAGTACAGAAAGTACAAATAGCTTATCAATATACACGATCAAGATATTTTCACGGCAAACACACGATTTGTAGATCTACTTGTTTTAAAAGCGAAAATCAAACATATAAAGCCGATATCGACGTGTACATCTGTATTAATATACATAAATGTGAAAAGTATTTTTTGTTACATAGTGCGGTATAGAAGTAAAATGTATTTGCATGAAACACATATAATGTCGAAACGTACAAATATGTATCACTATGATATATGGATATATAAAAAAAAAAACACAAAGAAAAATTATTTCATAGCTACTGGCTTATGTTCTGATGATAATTGAACACTATCTGAAAGAGTTTGGATGGTCTAGTGGCGCAGTGGATATAACACTCGCCTTTCACTAAGACGGACGGTGTTCTGCTCCCCGATAGGACGTGAAAAGGTATCAGGTCATCTGCCCGAACACTTGAGCACTAATATAAATCTATTTATATTAGATGATTTAACTTTGTTCATATCTGCAGTAAAATATATAAAGTATATATTTTAACACTGTCTGATATGTCGCTAAATTCTCTGCAACACATGCTTTCTGTAATAACAGCTGTTGTTTATGCGTAGATCTGCTCTTGTCCAAATATCAAGCTAACCAAGAGAAGAAGCGGTTGTATGAACAAAATCACCTAAACCTAGTGGAAAAAGCCGCGTTATTATATATGTAGTCAACGTACGCTAAACAATAAGTATTTTCGCTTTCAGTAAACTGTAGATAAATTATTTGGTCAAATTTTGTTGTTGTATGTGTTATGTTCAATATTTATTTCAAACAGAAATATTAATGTCAGATATGCCATATTACTTACATTAATGAAGAATTACTTCATGTTTAAAACTGCTTTATGTTGGCATTCATAACCTATATAAATGCCATCAAAATGTGGTAGAGTTATATAATGTCAACCTCATACGATGGTACATATACAACTATGTAAACATGGAATAAGTTACACATATAAATCAATGTATGGCATACTAATGACATCATCAAACGTAAATAAATAAAATTTACAACGCACAGTTATCAACGCTTAGAACTCCAACAAAAATAAATCCATGGAATTGATCAAGTAGAAACCGCAATAACAAATACGAAAAGAGTTATGTCTACTTGAGCAAAATTCTATCAGACGAAATAAAATAATTTAAACAATAGAAGGTACAATGTTCTTAAACAGAATCTAGCTAATTTTACATTTTTCATCCTTATCATCAGATGAAAACTCTGGCATTCCAGCGATCGCCATTTCTGCCCCTTGTTTTTCATCATCGTCTTTCTTCTTTTCATCGACTTTATCGAGATGCTCTTCTTGCTTCTCCAACTGTTCATCACCAAATGGTTTATCAATGGTATCGTCACCGTTTTCATCTTTCATGCCTTTTGTCGTAATGTTGACCGCTTCATCACATTCCGGCTGTTTCCCAGCGCCTTCTGGTACGTCTGAAGTACATTCGTAAACCCTGTCATCACCTTCCGACTCGGTATCGTCGTCCTTTGTAACGTCGCCAGGACCGTCTGTACTGACATTCTCTTCACCTGACTGAAAATCTACATCTGAAGTTGAAGAATGCCTTCTAGGTTCCTCAGTCTTGTTGTCGTCCTCGGTCTCGTCATCATTTGCTACAGTCTCAGTTTTTTCATCCATACCAGGACCAATCTGTCCCGTTAGGTATTCTGCATCTGAAGCAGATTTTGGTTCGTCCATAGACGAATCAACATCGGGATTCTTCAGTTGATCAATGACGGTTTCTGTCGCGTGTTCAAGGGGGAACTCTGGCTGTGTATCTACATATTCACCCTCATTTATCGCTTCATCATCAGAATCGTGAAAAAGCACTTCTTTTCCTTTCTCAGTTTTCTGACTGGAGAGGTCTTGGATTGCTTGCATGTACTCGTCGAAACCTGCATTTAATTCTTCCGACACATGCCTAATATCGGATGGAATTCCGGTATCCGTTTGCTCACATTCTGTCGCTAGCTGTTTTTCTAATTCAAGAAATTCGTCTACAGAATCATCCAATTCAGCATCTATATTTTCTCTCGTGTCATTTGAAACGATGATTTCATCTTCTTTGTCGTCTGACCTTTCTACCTCTACCTCTTCGTCACAAGCTTCATCAGGTACACCAGCTATTGTTCGATTCTCTTCGGTTTCATGCAAATATTCGTCGCCGAATTCTCTATAACCTTTAACTAGATCTCCTTTTTCAATCAGATCCTCGTCCGAGATATACTGCGCGTCCAGATCGTCCGGCTTCAATAGAGAATCCCAAGCATCCTCGTCGTGGTGCGTCTCCTGATTATCGTCATCTTCATTGTCAACAAGTGCGTCACTAGATTTCGTTTCTGTCTCATCAGCTGCGGGTGGTTCTTCCAGGATAGCTTGTTTAAGAACACTTCCGTCTGCGTACACATATGGGATGTTTTCAGGAGGATAATCGTTGATGTCGAAATCTTGAGCTTCTGTGATATTGACCTTTATTGGACTCAAAACATCATCAATGATACCATCAGGAAGGACACATTGTTCGTGAAATTCTGAAAATATAAAATAGATCAACTTTAGAGGAAACTTTCATAATTGTGACTATTGTTTGTTTCTTGTTTGTGTATGATCGGTTAATATGTGTTTTAACAGTGTACATGTCATGTAACGTATAGCTTGATTAACCGATTAAAATCGGCACGAACACATTCTAAAACAGGAGTAAACACCAGTCAACATTATGTATAGTCACAATTGTAGATAATCCTATTTCGATAGTTACGTGTATTAATCATCATAATTATGTAAAATAAGCATATGTTTTTTTTTTTTTTTTTTTTTTTTTTTTTTTTTTTTTTTTTTTTTTTTTTTTTTTTTTTTTTTTTTTTTTTTTTTTTTTTTTTTTTTTTTTTTTTTTTTTTTTTTTTTTTTTTTTTTTTTTTTTTTTTTTTTTTTTTTTTTTTTTTTTTTTTTTTTTTTTTTTTTTTTTTTTTTTTTTTTTTTTTTTTTTTTTTTTTTTTTTTTTTTTTTTTTTTTTTTTTTTTTTTTTTTTTTTTTTTTTTTTTTTTTTTTTTTTTTTTTTTTTTTTTTTTTTTTTTTTTTTTTTTTTTTTTTTTTTTTTTTTTTTTTTTTTTTTTTTTTTTTTTTTTAATGATTTTATCCAAGTCACGTCTCCCATATGTTTTGCAAACATGGGAAAATCCAATCATACGACTGATATTTAAGTTTGTATATTGAGTCCAGATACCATCTTTTCTTGATTTTTACAGATAAAATGATTATGAGTGGGAACAAAGTATTCTCGATTTCCTTGAAGTAGTAAGGGTCTTACATGTGTTGAATAAAAATGTATACAATTATTTGGTGGATTAATAAGTTAGCAATGGTTTTATTACCGACTAATATATATAAGACCAGTTTTAGAAATTCAAATAAAAAAAAAAAAATGAAAATCAAGACAAAGACACATAATGGCATTCGCACTTTGCATATATTATATACAATCAAACGTGTATTCAAAGACCACCGTTAGGGAGTCAATAGTGTAGGTAGTCTGTCAATACAGGTTATGTTAATATGAATAACTGCAATTAACATGTGAAAGAGTGCTCCCTTAACACATGTGTTCTCTTAATGGCGGGAGTCTCTGAAGCATGCTTTACGCTATATACCAAGAAAATACTCGGATCACAGTAGAAGATATCTTAAATGTGTGTTTGAACTTCCATATCATAAAATATATCTCGGCGATATTACCGACACCGGATATAGTTTATTGGCCTTTCCTTCAAAAATATTTTATACATATTATTTTTCCGATAGAGATAGTGAAACTGAACTGCTCTTATTAGCTTGTGAGTATATACTCTTTAGTTCGGAATCATAACATTGCATCATTAAGGTGTTTTAAATAATTTGAAACATACAGGTAAACAAGTATCAGTCAAGAATGGCGACGACTACCTTATTACAATACATTTAGAAGATATAATGAACGTTTTTAGCTTAGGTATGACTAATGTATAAGTTTACAATTTAGATAAATTTTATGAAAATATATACAGATAGTTTGTTTTTATTATCTCGTTTTTAATAAATCAACAATGAATGGCTCATTTTAAAGTGATGACAAACATGTGTTTTATGAGTGCGCATTTTGAATGTTGATACGCGGATTTTTAGCATGTTTTTGGAGGCAACTAATAGAGGAAACCAATGCACACCTCATGTGGAAAATGTACTCTATCGACCAGTATCCCAAATTAAAGTCGAAATAAAAATCTAAGGACAAGAAAAACTTGAACAAACGCGTCTCCCGTCAAATATAGTATTTAAGTCACACCTTCAAATACACAGGAACCAGAACGGTTAATTACGATGGACACACGTAATCTGAAAGGTGTAAATCAGGGCTCAAACAACCGCTCTGATTTTTAATTTTAAAACATTTTTTTTTATCTAATATTCAATATTTGTGTATGTACTAAGCATAACTGTGAATTCGAGAAGCATTCTCATTTTACGGTTTTACTTTCTATCCCATAATTTTTAGCGAGTTAAGAACGTTATTCAAATGGTTTGAGTAAAACAAACGTTTTATTAGTACAGGCCTGTATGTATGTTATGATAACCATAACATTATCTTCAAAATAAAACGTCATGTCAGGTTCAAAACTACGAATAACTTGTTCCCTGTTAACAGAACACACTTATTTCACTTAGAGAAAGATTTGGAGTAGCGAATCAACAGTGACATGTAAACAGGCTCTACAGTATTGAATCAAAAGTTACACGGGCTTTGAAATAGCGAATTAACAGTCATATGTGAATTCCATGAGAAGAGGGGGCTGGACTGTTACTACTGAAGACATCGAGAAGTTGAAGAGTTTGGCAGTGATGCAATGCAAGATGCGTTATGTGACGCATTGTTGACTGATGATCAAAGTATTAATCAAAGACCACATTTTTACACCCCAGAGAGGCCAGAATGAATAAAATAAATTATTTTTGGGAGAATTTATTCGGTTTAACGACACATTCAAAGTAGTGGATATCAAACATCCCTTTAACTCGTGTCAAGAAGACTGCTGGCTAAACTGGGTATCTGTGCAGTTTTCGAATCTTCAAACCAATAAAAATATGTTTGTCAGTCCTTTCTGACAGCAAATACTTAAAATCCCAGAGCAAATAAATTTTGTTTTCCGATTCCAATTGAATTCGATCTCCGTGCCATTACAATCATCCATCCATCTCTTCTTCATACAAATGTCCGTCATCATATGACCTTATAGCTCATTTTTGGCACACTGTATCTATTACTTAATGGTAAAGGAGCAATCACCTATGCGTGCGTTACGTTTACTTTTCAAGGCTGTAAAGACTGCTGGTGGATTGTTTAGTCTCCGAGGTTTGCCGAAACCTTGATGAAAAACAGTCATCGATTTTGAGTAATGGCATGTTTCGCAATATGATTTAATATACCAATACTTTACTCATTAATTTGAAATTAATCTATATTTCTCTTTATTTTTAAATTCGTGAATTAGGGGTTATCATGCACTTTCCTTTCTGTTACACCTACTTGGATCTCCAGCTTTTTGGCCCCTATCATCACCGATCAGCCATGTAAGGACAAAACAGATATTATGATCCCGTTTGATTCATTTATGGAATACTACCTCTATTACTAGATTTTAAAGGTGCAGTTACCTCTGTATGTTAGGTTCGTCTTTCGAATACGCATCAATTATACAACTGTATTTTTAAATGTACGAACGTTTTGTTTTGAAGATGTTGCTGAAAAAAGGGAGGAATGGATAACTGCAGGGATGCGAGTGTCTGGCAATTCGGAACGCTCGTTTTAAGGGAAAGTTCGACAGAGAATCAAAAATAAGACAAAACACATCGTCAGTATTTCTGGTGATATTTTATGCATGACTTCCCATGCACGATACACATATGAGCTTTCATACAAATGCAGATGCAACAATTACACCAATGGTTCTTTATACATAAAGAAATCCTACACACGTTGTGTTAGTCCAAAACATAAAAAATAATACATTAAAAACTTATATACTGTAACACAGTTCGCAGGTTTGCAATCCAACCTGTAGGTTCTCATGCGCATAAAACATTAGTTAATAATTCAATAGTACATTCAGCACTGTTAGCGTTATTCTAACAAACGCCACGCTTCACATCACAGTCAGAAGATTAAATAGTGATCAATTATAGTCAAGTCCATCTGCTCAATGAACCAATTAACAACCAGACGCAGAGCTGAACCCCACACATGCCGGTAGAAGGGAGAGTATTCAGCAGATGTCGCATGCATGCATTCCCTTAATATTGGTCATAAAAACGTTTAGTTTATGTTTTCTCTCCATCTAAAATAACTTAGCATGCACGGCTGCTGGGGATTAGATAAAACAAACATACATCACTATTCATAATTACGAACAATACATTTGCGTTGTTTTATATTTCAGTTTACAATTTTGAAATGTACAAGCATTGCTTAGGATAAGAAAACAAATTAATCAGTATATGCATGGTTAGTTAGAACCGAGTTTTCTGTTAACAAGTCCTATACCTGTAACCCATAAAAGTATGATGGCTCCAACATAAATACATATCCATTAAGGCATCCTTTGTTTTCAACACCACTAGACAATCGAACAGACAATAACACATTCCCCCCCTGAAATGTCATAATGAACTATTCCAACCTTTGAATTGGAAGAGTTCAAATGTGTCTTCAGGGGTGAATGGGTTAATCACTTGTCATGAAACACAAGCAGCTCATGTTTTGCACTCACTTTATCAATGTTACAACAATATCACGAGCATAATTCAGATAGTGATTTTAATTTGGGATACTGTTAATCCATTAAATTTAACTGTTAATTATTGGTGACATCTAGCGTATGTGGACGTGTCCATTCCGACAAAGCTGCTCTTGTCATTCTGAAATAGATTGGTCGGCTATACAAATATTGCATTGCATACTTCATAAACGGATATTGCATTGTCAACAACTCCCTATTTTGTCCTTAACGTGTGTGGTAAACAGGAAGTTTTTTTTGTCTACATTGTCATGGAATGTTTTCATTATAAATCCTGATAAACGAGGCATCCCAGTTAATGAACCCTGCTACAATTGATTGCACCTTATAAACACCTATCTCCTAGGACCTAAATTACTCATTTTAAAATTAGTTTCGTATAATGTCATAGAAAAAAACAACAACCGCAAAGTCAACAGTCTCACTAAATTAAACTGATAAAAAGCTATGAAAAACAAAAAGATAAATCCTGATAATTTATATGGTTCGCTGTGCTAAAGGACATACATAATCTACTGAACAATATAGGAAGGATACGTGTCCTAAACCCATACTGATATTCTGTTATATAATATGTATATTTAGTATATTAAAGCATAATACCCTTTCTACTAATTATAACTAGATTATGATAATATGGAACATTGTATTGCCGCATGCTGATATTCAGGAATAAATATACGATGGGATTAGTATTCACTTCG